CACAATGGAAAATCAATAATATGATTCTAAATGAATCGTTCAATCTAATTTATTAATTTTATTGATCGGTATTAAAATTTAATTAAAAAAGTCATAATTAACACTATAACGGTAAGATCCTGGTCGTATTTGACCCAGGTTACAGTTCCTATTTTACTGTCCCTACTCTATTCTTCATTATTTTTTTATTACTCTAGTTTTAAAATATTTTGTATTATTTAGTACACGTTCAATACTTATATTATTATAGATTATTCCTCATTATATAAATAAAGAAAAATACAAGTTCAGGGTAATAATTTTTTTACCTGCTTGAAAATGGACAAAAAGAGCTGGATCGGATCCAACTCCTCTGTATCAAGTGCGACCTTCAAACCCACCTTACTATTCGAGAGTTAAAAGAAAAGTGCGAAGGTCTACAAAAAATACTAATGATCAAGGTATTTCTGAAAAAGTGATCTTCAAGTCAAACTTTTTGTTATGTCGTATTTTTATATTTGAAATATTTGGTCGTCTGAAAAATAATCGTGTCCTTTTCTTTTCTTGCTACCTCTTACAACAACTTACTAGAAAATTCTCCATCCTCTTTTTTCCATGAACACGCATTTATTTCATGTATTTATCCGCCTTATCCATCTACTCAATTTATTCTGGCGTCCAATTCGAATTCACTAATTACTATACAGTAAATCCTCGATGAATGTTCGAAGGCTCCTCGGCACTGACAAGAGGTCCCCAGGTGTAACGCTAACTTTTTAATGAGGTTTAGCACAGTGATAGAGCTTGGAATTCTGAAGCTAATAAAATTTGTCATTAGCCGCATATGGCCATTGGTTTATGAAACATTTAATATATATGGCCGAGGCGCCTTCGAACACTCGTCGAGTATTTACTGTATCGATCAAAAGAATTAGAAGGTCACATGTTGCAATCACTGGGTCTGTTAATATCACGCATAATTTTTAGAAAGTTCGTTATGGAATTCAAACTATTTAGGTGCTAGTTTTATTTGCAAAAGATGTAAATTTATCACACCTATGAGCATTTGTGACCTGTTAAGCAGTATATTATCTAACACTAATTCAGCAACACGAAAATCGAATCTAATTTCAAGAAACAATTAAAACTGCATTGAAGAAGTGATCGATCGAATAAGCACGAAATATTTTAATAATTATGGAACATACAACGTTGTATTCTCGTTTTGATCGAGACGCAGGGATCTGCCAATGAACGGAGTTGATCGCTTTTGGGAGCTTCGATTTCAAAGGTACGCGTGTCATTCGTGTGTTAAACATTTCGTAAGCTTAAAACCTGATTAAATCGGATGAAGGTCTTCCTTCAATAGAATTACCAGCAGTTACGATCCAGGCTCATTTCTATTATATCAAATTGAACATATTCTATTACTTAAAAATCAATTATAAGCTAATCGACGAAGATTCCGTTACATCAATTCGGTCACATGGAACCTCGCGTCGAACTTAAATTATTATTATTCATTTCGAAGCCCAATTAAATTTCGAATGTTCCAATAACTCTCATCGAACAATTTTTGAAATATTAATCCAACAGAAATCTAAGGTAGCCCGTTTCTATATCTAATACCGTTCCCGCGCGAACACTCCAGATATCTCCGTTATTAATTCCACTGAATAATGCATAAAACCACGACGTCAAATAGACAACAGGCAATACAAACAGAATGCACAGAGTTTTACGAAACGTCGGAAAATCGAGGTATACCATCGAGGACACGTGCGATATTTACCGGTATCCGGCCGCAGAATACCGAATCCGCGGCATTATTTTTCCACCGCGGCATCAGCTACGTTTCGCACCCTACTTAACCTCCACGCTGGCCGCGAATGAAAATGGGTCATCCAGTGCACGTGTTTCTGTGCCGATCTATCCCACAGGTGCACACGGACGTTAACACACAGATACACACGACGGTTTCTCCTTGTTTTTAACTGCGCAAGTAGGGGGGAGGTGGGCGATGGGAAGGGGGCAGCAAAAGAATGGAACAGAAGGAAAGAGCTGGACACAGTACAACCGGCACCTTTATTACGTGCAGCACGGTTACTTATTCCCGACGGAACGATATCGCGTTCCATTTCCATTCAACGAATTTCTTACCGTTCTTGCTCATCCCGCCGAGACAACGAGGAATGGTTTCGACCATGCGCCGTTATAAAAAAAAAACTGCACACGGGTTTGTCGGGTCAACAGAGGCGGTAACGCGACGGTGACTTGTATATTTTTGGGATATTGTCAATTTCCACGAAGGTACGGGAAATCCACGAGCAGTCAAGGACGGCCGTTTTGCCGAGCCAGTGTAGCGAGGCCAAAGTGAATAAGGAACACGACACCGGGCGAAATTTTGAACGGTCGTACGGGGAACGAGCGAAATTAATGTTACGATGGCCGGAAGCTTAGCTCTACTCTTTCGGCGGTGGTTAATATTCTCGTTTGTTTAGGAGACGCCTCGCGCCAATGGTACACGATCGGGGCAGTTTATTAGACATGAATGTTTATTATGTTTATGAGCGGAAAAGGTTAAATGGGGACGTATATTTAGGCACCGAAGGGGGAAAAGGAAACGTATTGGTACTACAATTGGAGGCCTTTTTTTTTTTACAGGGTTTAACAAAAGTGTTGTAGATCCCTGAAATGGGGAAGTCGTAAGGTGATTTGGAACAAGTTTTTCCTTTGTAAAAATGTTGTCCGAGGCTTTGTTAAGGAGATATTGACGAAAAACCTCGACCAATCGGAGCGAGAGTGTGCCGACTGAGCTCTGATTGGTCGGGGTTTTTCGTCAATATCTCGTTAACAAAGCTTCGGACAACATTTTTGCTAAGGAGAAACTTGTTCCAAATCACCCCACGAGTGACCTATTTCAGGGATCTACAACATTTTTGTTACACCCTGATTTTAAGTGTAATTTCAACGTGTTTCATGATTAACTTGAAATTTATCGTTCTAAATGAGTTCTTTTCAAATCATCTAACCGTTTGTATACTGGGTGAGTTGTTTAAATCGGTCCCCTCGAATATCTTCGAAATCGTTGATGATGTCGAAAAAGTATCAAGTAAAGAGGACATATGTCGGTCAAATTTGTTTTTTTTTAAATGGAATTATATATTTTTTAACGGATTAGTCGATGGTGCTTGTCATTTCTTATAAATCAGGTACTAAGCTATTTAAGCCGAAAACCATTAACTTAGGAGATATTTTAATTTCAAAATTACGCGATACTACGTGCGACATCCATCTAACATTGAACATCAACTTTATTCAGGTAAGCATCGTATTACTAATACCACTTCGCAATTTTGAAATGAAAATATCTCATAAACTTACTACAGCTTACTACTTTTTTTAGGGGAATGACGAGCAGCCTCGACTAATGTATTCAAAAATATGTGATTCCATTAAAAAAAAAACAAATTCTACCTTCATATTTCCTCTACATACTCAGCTATAAAAAAAACTATTCATATTAAATTATTTCCTCCTTGAAACTAATTAACTATTATATAAAATATTTTTGGTACCATCAACGGTTTCCAACATATTTGAAGGGATCGATTTAAATGATTCACCCTGTATAAGAAGAATTTACAGGAGAATATTAATTACATGACAACTAACATGTTTGTTCATTCGGTGAATAAGTTGTTCGAATAATTAATATTGATGTAATAGAACAAGTAGCTCGGTTCCCATATTTGTATTTCAGGTAACACTGATCTGTTTTTATTATATTGTACTTATTAATGAAGTAACAATAAAGTTCGTCTATGAAATGTATAATACTTAATTATTCGTTTATATATATGTAATACAAGGACTGAGGTATATACGTCATATATTTATATTTTTCTGAAAATATGTTAAGCAAACAAATAAAGGGTAGTAATTCTTTGTTTGGAAGAAAGAACATTTCGTTCAGAAAAACGGAACTAGATGGAAACATTGACAATTAAAAACGATGATATACGTTTGAATTAAATTAGTGTTTGAATCTATTGTCTTCAGAATCAGTACATGTTACGAAGATTAAAGTATTCCTTTAGATATTAAAACCGCAAAGTGGTGTACAATGCATACCGCCTCAGATATTCCGCAGAGAGTAATGCTTAAATTGCTTACGAGAGTTGTAAATTAATTTCAGAATTTAACACCATCAAATGCGTTTATTAAATTTCAGGCCTTCCGTTAAGAATAAAACTATTATGATGAATAAAAATACTACAATAAATACTTCATATTATAATAATATTCTCGAGGATTTCTGTCAGATCTAATTTCATGAAGCATACTACATACATGTATGGCATTAGTTAGCGTACTTATATCTATAAAATATTCTTTATTTATTTTCCGTATGTTTATTGTCTGTTCATTAAAAGGTAATAAGTGAAGACAAATCATGACGATGGTCACCTGCAACAACTTAGTTGGTTCTTTATATTCTCCGAAACCTAAGCGCTTATGAGACTGGTCATATCAGCCAATCATTGTAACTTGAATGTTTTTAACTAACTTTTTGACCGATCACTCGTCAATAGTATTTTTTTATAAATAAATTATTATTGGAAATTTGGGTATGCTAGTGTCTACAAGCGCTTAACTTTTCATTATTAAATAATCATTGTAATTCTCATTAAGATTGATGTTTAAAGAATTACACAGGTTGATGTTCCGCAATTCGTAGTAAAACTCAAAAGATGGAAATTTTACGTATAAAGATAACTTGAAAATATAAAATAGATTTTTGTCGTATGATCTTCTTACGTGTCAACTTGAATACAATCCTTTAGTTCAAGCGTCTATTCATTACCGATTATTTCTACCTGTACCTTTAATAACACATTCTACTCCGAATTCTAAGTTGTACTTTACGATATAAATATGTTCTTATAAAGCACAATATCACTGTACTCTGCAGCAACACACGAAACAACAATTAATTTAATAAAGGCATCGTTACTTACATCATATCCCGAGAATTCACCTTTTCCTGGCGGTCCTGGAGGTCCTTGCGAACCTTTTTCCCCTGGTATTCCATCGCGGCCAGGTTCTCCTTTTTGTCCTTGAGGACCTTCCGGTCCCGGTATTCCCATGTCCCCTTTGTCTCCTCTGGCGCCGGCTGGTCCTTCAAGTCCCCTCTCTCCGGGTGGTCCTGCTGCCCCCTATAGAAATTAGCGAAGCTATCATTTCTGCACAGATCACGAGCAACAAACACAAGCTTTCATAAAAAAAAGAAGTAAGTAATAACTAAACGGTGGATGTTCAATCGATATCTTTCAGACCAAATTACAAAAACATCAATGAACTAGAACCTTATTTTCTCCATTATAATATTATTGCATAATCGAGAAAATAAACTTCATCGACGTTTATTATTTCATTGTGTTTTAGTGAGTTGCATTTAAAATAAATGTATGAAATCCACAGTTTAGTAATAACTTTCGTACTTCCATTTCGAACTCGAAGCTTATATTCTACTATTGTATGCGATATATGTATATGTATCTATGAGATTCTACACTTATATTCATACGCTTAAAGGCTCAGAGAAATTATTTCGTTCGTTTATGAAATCGTTTATTTCACAGTTTGGAAATTCATTTCGTCACATTTTTTTTGAATCTTTATTGCGAGGCGGTTTGCTTTTTACAAAACGTCAATACCGTCAGCCCCATTTGCCCCTGCTTTCCTTCTTGCCCCCCTACTCCTGGTTCTCCTTTCGGTCCCTGGATCATTTTCGGCATCGTGAAGGATGCCATCAGCGCTGTTGCGTTACACGAACAAGTACCGGGATCTCCCTTCTTTCCTGGCGGTCCCTGCGGCATTTTCGTCAAGTTATTGTACTGATATACATATATGCATGTATATTGCTTTTATGGGAAATAAATTTTTCAATAAATACACGTTGGCTCCCAATAATTAGTAAATTTTATTTAACAATCACTCCTTTCTTGTGACATTCACTGACGTCAGATTTTGATACTGCTTTAATTGTTTAAACATAATTGTATAAATATTTAAGTAGCGAATACTTAAAATCATGGAAAATTATTTCGTTTTACTCCTTAATATAACATTGTTCTTAATATATGAACGAAAGGACGTAAGAATGGAAAGTTAAAACTTTTCACAACCTTATCTATATTTTCGGAATGCTTACCAAAAACAATGGTATCAGAAGTAATTGTAAACATCATTTTTTTTGTTCGATAATTAGGATTATTTTAAGTCGCATCGATTGCTTGATTATTAGTGACGAAATTTGGTCTGTTTATTAGATACTGTGACATACAGTGGGTGATCAAATTATTAGAACCACAATACGAAAAATATGTTTATTTTGGTTTGTGTAGAAATAAAGTCGCAATATCAAAGTGTTTACAGTGTATAATTTTTAATTAACAATTGTCTACTAAGAATATACACAACAATTAATAAAACCGATAATTTAATTACCCATTGTAGATTGCTGACTTTAAGGAAACTTAGGGTGCTTTTTATGTGATTCTGTGATGTTAGAGTCGTGTCTCGTTTTACGTTATATTTCTGTTCTCGTACATTGAATCGGCAATTATTTACAAAAGGATATTCCTTACCGATTTCAATGACTTTGAAATATGTTGTCAAGGTCAACATTCTGAACAACTTTTTCCTATCCATGTTACCGTCGCTCGGCCTTAGTTTCCGAGATATACGCAAAAATAATTTTTTTACAGCCGACACACAGTGTTCCATGTACACATGTTCTGGCCGGACGGGTGGTACAACCATGAAGGGGGATGAGTCTACACGTAGAAATAAGTCAAAAATATAAATTAACATTTTTTTCATTCGAGGCATAGTTTCCGAAAAAATCGAAATTTAAGATTCATCTGTAACGCGTGTATTCGTACTGGCAATAAGTAGAAACGGAATGGAATGATCAGACGCGTTAGCCAAGTCACCACACAGTGTTAATCACGCACCCAACATCCCGATAAATACGAGCCACACACATACACGATGTGTTTTGGGGCCGAAAATTTTTTTCTGTTTTCTTGTTTAGATATTAATAAACTAAACTTGTGTTTGGTGAGGTTTTGGGTGCGTGGTTATCTCTGGGTGGTGTGTAGTGGGATGTTTTTGCCACATTATCGTCTTGACTACATCGTATAAATCTTAAAATTAAAGTAACAAGTTTTAAAAATACAGAAATGTCTTGATGAGTGCAACGTACTCGGGTCCATTTCGGAGGATTCATGGCAGAGCCCTCATAAATTGTTTTTTTTTTGTTCCTGAAGTTGAGCCTTTGCCTAGCTTCTGTTTACTCTGTGTTGATTGGTTCCACAGGGGGATTCCCCCAATAGTGGGAATAACGCCGTTCCTCGTATCGCACTCATCGAGGAATCACTGTATTTCTGCGTGCAACTCGGAAACTAAGGCTGAGCGACGGTAACATGTATAGGAAAAAATTGTTCAAAATGATGACTTTGACATCATATTTCACCTTCGTCCAAATCGGTGGGGACTACCCTTTTGTAAATAATTACCATTGAATCTTCTACATTTGTATCGACGATGATTAACTGTTGACTATCGTTCTTCTGTCTATTGAAACAACTGAAGTCTTCTACGAGTTTTTTGAGTTCATGAAAAATGTTCACGTTCATATATTACGTCGATTTAGTCGTCTCGAGTAAATCTTTTAAAGATAAGTTAATAGATATCTTGGGAAGAAAGGGGTCGCGTCCGACGTGAATTTATGTATGTAAAATTTTCTTGAACTTTTTAGATTCTTTTCTACACTGCAAGAACATGGGTAAGTTTCAGACAAAGGAGGATGTGGTTCTTTATGTGCTAATGAACATAGTATGAAAGAACAACCTTTTTATGAGGGTACGATTCTTTATGCAATGATGATAAAGGATAACTTTTTTATGGGAAGACTTATTCGAAAAAACCCAATTTTGACTAACTGAAAGGTACACATACAGGGTGTCTCAGTTAACTTGATCACATCGAATAATGACGTAACGGTACACTTTATGAAAATTCTGAGGCATGGAATTTAAATGGCATCAAGGGGCACATCTTATAAGGTACGTGCTTTTTTGTGGGTGGAGTCATTTCAGAGATTTTAAGGTTACTGTGATTTTTTTTAACGAAACGACCTATTTTTTGTACCACAGATCGATAGAGTATCAAATTCTGAATAAAAATGTATTGACCTTCATACATCCTAAACCTAATAGTTAACGAGAGATTTACAAAATAATCACTGTATTGAAGTTGAGGGGCATCGGTTCGAACACTTATAGCTTCCAGACAGTAAGTACGTATTAAAAATTATTTTGTGAATATCTCGTTAACTATTAAGGAAAGAAAATTTATCGATTCTAAAATTTTTAAAGATATCAGAGTATATTTTTACTGTCTTGAAAAGAAACGAAAATTGACAAGGGTCGTTTTTGTTATGAGTCACTCAATTAATGTCCTTTTATATTTTGTTATTTTATTCGAAACAATCCACCTGATTTTCACTATGCTTGGCATCGAATTTTGTCAATTCATGCATGTAGTCGAACATAATTTTTGGCAGTCAGTAAACACGAAGCATGACGGTACCTCAGCTTTTGTATTGTATTCCATAAAGAATAATTGTTGAATGTGAAGGACGCTCGACAACAACAGACGGTAAAGAAATGCATTACTCTTACTCATCGCCGTACGTCAATAATTTCGGAAGATAGTGAGTATCGTGAAAGCGAGTTTCTGTGTAATCAATGTTACACGCGGTGGTTACCGACACTTCAGCATTCTGACTAAATTGGGCTGCTTGGGTAACAAGATAAATGAGTGATTCTAGATTGCAATGTATTCAAGCTAGTTTCATATGCACAAACGCTACTGAATTATTATTGCTGCAACACGTGCGTAGCCCTATACGTACAATATGTGGCATAATGGAGAGTTCTTAGGTCTAAACCTACGTGATTTAACTGTTCACCCATTAGTTTGTATAAATTTTAACAGTAACTATACTGAACTATACTCTATAAATACACCAAACAAATGTAACTATACTCAACATTAAATTAAAATAATAATTACCTATTATTATCAACATATTTATGTATGAATATACATAATATTAATATTGTAAAAATTTTCATATTGTTGTTTATAACTTAAGTGAATTATCTCTGTGCTTTTGTAATTTGCATTAAAAACACATCTTAGGAGGAATGAAGTACCTTGGTCCATACAATACTGTGATGTTATTCCTGTTTTCTGGTCTTGCAATTTTCGTATGAAAATAATTTTACATATACATGCGGCATAGGTAATACGACCTAAACGTAAATTTCATCCGAATAATGTTTCTATCAGGATTAATTCAACGCTTATTTTAATGTAACTTCATAACGTAGTCAAGTTGTCTAAATATTAATACTCTTAGTGTATACCGTTATACATATAAGGAGAAACTCTCAGATACTCTTTCACTTTCGAAGTTAAGCGATTGATATATAAAATTTAACATTTTGTGATGGTCATTTCATTTTTGCTTGTTTTACGTAGTACTGAAACGTGACTTTACCTATTTGTTCACAAATATGCACTGCGTGGCATAACTACAAAACCACCCTAAAATGTTCAATTCTTATGTATTGTGGTTAAAATAAAAAGTAAACCAAGTCTGAAATCGTGTTGCGAAATAATGTTTCTTCAGAAAAGTAAAGATTATATTCCTTAAAGAAACAGTAGTTCGTTTTTATTTTAACCATAATACCTACAGAAGGATTGAAAATTTTAGGGTGGTTTCACAGTTATGCCACACAGTGTACACACGCTTGTCGATTCTATTGTATAACCAGTCCAAGGTAATGCTTTATTTCATTAGGAGAGATGAATGTTGGCACGCTAAGCCTATGGAATCGGTCTAAATCAATGTACATTGTGTGCATTGAACGTGTTTCTATGTAGCACTGAATCATTATTCATTTAATATAACGAAAAGCTGCAGGTACGAAGACAAACGACTGTCGGAGTACGTCACAGGGATGTCGCGTCGTACAATCTTGACGTTATAATTATAATTCAATTTACCTTCTGGTTTTAAGCAAAATTGCTCCAACAACGATTCTATGATTTGCACTTCACTGATCAGTTGAATGATCGACTTCGTATTTCGGTTCATATATTTTCTTTTAAATTAAACAATGTACCGTTGCATAATTATAAGCGAAACCTGATACGAACGTGTTGTTCTGCAGTATTCACAATGCATTCAATCTGCCTTTCTACGTGTACGGACTATTGAGCCATTGAATCCAGAGTTTCTATGGTTTGTACTAGGACTGCTAATGGCGGAACATTCGGCCACATTGATACGTATTCTCGCTACAGAGTGTACCCACCTGAAGAAGGCCATCTAAACGTCTCCTTTTGTTTTAATGACATGAGACACGTTTAAAGCACAATTTGAATTGTTTCGAAAGAGGAATACCGTAGAAGTTCATTTTTGTAAGGTCAGTTTTTCCGTCTTTTTTGAAGGTCACCAGTATTCTTTTTGCAATCACCACTATTTTTCTATTGCATCTTCTAGCAGACGAAAAAAATGCATGATCGAACACAAAAAAGTGATCAAATTCTAAAACCAATTCCCCAAAGAAAAGACATTTAATGGCCTGCTTCGGTTGGGACACCCTGTATATTAAGTCCTACCATGACTAATTTGAAATTGTCCTCATTAAAATATTGCTTCCTTGAAAATTTTGGAGCGACATTTTTAATGTAGGTACACAATATTGCCAGTGTAGATGAAGAAAAGTATTGCAGTATCTGATTGTGTATATCAGGAAAACACAGATGCTTGGTGGTTGTATAAATAATTTGATTCAGACAGACAATGGAATAATATTAACTCCTAAGTATAGAATTTAATATTTCACTTTTAGGGATTGAGGAAATTTGAAAGAATTATTTGTACTTCAATGTGTTCATCAATATATTTGAACAAAAATGTAAATCTTAAGTTTGCTTTCTGTTTTTTTATAAAACTTCCAAGACTTTATTTTTAGTCGATATAAAAATGTTCAATAACGTTTACCTCTTTTCGCCTGAGAGCTGCTGTATATAATACTAAAGCTGAGTGTTTATTTTTCCAATAATTATATCTTTTTTCCGAAGAATAATTGGAAAATAAAGATATTGTACCATTTATAAACATTATTAAGATGAATTTCATATTGAAAGTAATATAAATATTTACCTCATCTTGGCCTGGTGGACCAGGTGGACCTGGAGGTCCTCTGACGCTATCACCCTTGTCTCCTTTGTCACCTTTCTCACCTTTCGGCCCTTTGTCTAAGATACGAAAAAAGTATTTCATTAAAAACTGTACGTAGGAAATCCAAAATAATAACTGTCACACCTATTTAAAATGCTAATCAAACGCTAAACGAAGATATTTTATTGAATGCGTGTTTGAAAAATAGACAATTATGAGAAAGTTTCGTAAAATTTTCGAAGTCTAAAATTATAGTTTAAAATTCATAGTAACATTTCACAGTAATAAAAAAGGTATTAAGAATATATTATTATTTACATAAATCCATTTATTGTACGTAGTTATTGTTGAAATTCAGTTGTAATAAATGTCAGGTCATTTAAAAAGTTTTGAGTATTCCGTAGGATGCTGTATGTCTTTTATTTTCACCATTCCAGCCTCTGTCTTCTTTTTCGTGCGTCAAGGTAGTGCCCATATTTTGTCGACTTTAAAGCGAGTGGGTGGTACGTTCAGTTGCAACTATGAACGCTAATAAAACGCACATAAGGAACCGTGTGTTTCAGAAATACAATAAAGGCGAAAGTGTTGTACAGGCTATTGAAAATATTTATAAAGCTTGCGACACAAATGCAATATTGGTTTTTCAGATTCCGTAATGGTGACTTTAATCTCAATGATCGGGAACGCAGTGGACGCTCGTTAAATATCGACAGCGAATGTTGAAAGACTATAATCGAGTAGTTGGTAAAAAAATACAGACAAATCGCTGAAAAGAGGGCAATTACATTGATTTATTAAGGGGTCATTCTACTTTCACGACCGAAAAATTAAGCTATCTTTAGGAATTTTTTGGTCAGTAAATATACTCATAAATAGTACAAAAAAAATTGCAAAGATAAGTTTGTTATATTTTGTTCTAAGTTTTTTCTTTGCATAAAAATGTCCTCTCCAAAAAAGGTATCTCCATGGTACAGGTAATTTGTCAGCTGAAACTTATCGGAAACAAAAAGTTCAGGAAGACTCCTAATTAGTGTGAAAGTCGCTATCGCGGGTAGCACAGTCATCTTTGTACCTTTAATTTATCATACTTTTTATATAAGAATATCACCAAAAAAGTGTTTTTCTTTCGGTGTTTTATTAGGTCCGTGCCATTTTGTAATTTTTTAAGGTAAATTATTTATTGTGCTTTCTGTATGGCGACACTCATACTAATTAAGAATCTTATTGAATTTTTTGTTTGAGATGAGTCTGAGCTGAAGACTCACCTGCACCATGGAGATACATACCTTTTTAAAGGCTTAAAGCAATATAGAATAAAATTATTTTTGCAATTTTTGTGTCTTATCTATAAGTGCTTCTATAAATACTAAAAAGATGTATTCTATTACATACTGTATTTACCGAGGAAAAATCCCTAAAGATAGCTTAATTTTTCGGCCGTCAAAAATGACTCCTTAAACTTAGTTATTTGTATGTTTTTTTTTCTCGTAATAAAGTTTATACACAAAAATACGCAAAGACTTCTGAAATAACCTGATATTTGGAAACAAAAGTTTTATTATAAATTAATTCTGTAAAAGCATAAGTTTTATAAAATGTAGTAGTATTGTTGCAATATCAGTTTAGCAAGGATAATTCGATAGGTCCCGAGCCTTTTGGGAATCGCGTCGAACGTTCTTTATAGAAGATGGTTCCAATAGCATCCGAGATATTAAAGGAAAGATTCTCCGATGTAATTTCGGTATCACAGCCAAGAGATCGAATATTTCCGATCAAAAGACGGCTCCGATTAAATAAACTTTCGCGAATTCTTTGCGATTACTCACAGTCCGGATTGGGAGGAGGAGGTGTGATGAATGGCGGTGGATTGCTTTCCTCGCTTCTGTCTTCGTCATCATCTCGCCCGATCTGAAAACGGATGGTAAAAAGGAACGGTGAATAAGAACACCAAACGTGATTTATATGTCGTTATATCGTTGAAAAAGGATGGACGAAAGAAAAACGAACGACGGCGAGAAGTTTCATCGCTTATGGTTGTGATTGATTGCTCCGTTGCGTAGCGTCGGTGCAATTTATTTATCTTCGAAGTGCAGCGAAATCGTTCCATTTTCACGGATCACCGTTGCGTACGCGGTTAATACAGCGTATTATTGGAAAAGCGTTTAATAGCATTAGCGATACAAAACAAACTTTCCAAGCGTGATTAAATTTTGGCGAAATAGCATTAGCTCGCAGACGAATCGTCGATTTCTCTTTATAGTGGCACTGAAAACTTTGGTTTTTTACATTATTGAAAATGTATTTGTCTTTTTACTTTCTCAGCTATAAAGAATCGACCTTATCGAATATCCTCAAGCATCAATGCCGTAAATACAGAATATTAAATTAAATATGAAAGCATTTAAGGAATAAATTAAACGTTTTATTACTGTCATCTAAATAGAGGAATTAATAATTCAATAAGCATAAAAATAACTTCAAACATCTAACAATAAGTACAGTAAGTAGGGGATGAATACTTCTTGATAGATTGCCTGATGCGTTTTAACCCTTTCACTACCAATGTAACAAATGGGACATACAATGTATCCCAGTGGGGAGTTAAAAGATCCTGGTAGGAAATGTTATAGGGGAAACAGCTAGATATTTCGTCCCACTGGTATCGTATGTGTCCCATGCACCACCTTCATCAATCTTAAAAATAAGGAATAGAATATAGTGTAAATCTTTGAGATGTCACTAGGTCCATGTAATGTGCTACGAGTGGTGTAAGTCGATTTTTTCAAAATGGTAATGAAAGGGTTAAGTTGATACATTAGCCAACTGAATTGTAATTCTTTTCACACACTGAACAAATGCTATGTATCATTTATAGAAAAAAGCAAACCATAATATCCTATTTAGCAATATATATTTTTGCGTGCTTAGGATTCAGAATAAAATATAATTAGGGAATTAATAACGGAACAATCGATTTTTAGACTTGTATATTTTTTGTTCTGGAAAAATGAATGATATCAGGCGGAGAGACTGATGATTAATGAAGTTTCGGCTAAATCAAGCGGAGCGGTTAGTACATATTCATCCTAAGTACTTTCCAATAATAATTAGTAACGACGTAGACTTATCGGGCAAAACCGTTCTTTGACAGTTATTTATTGTTGAGGCTCTGATGAATACGTTTCATGGACAAAATTATTATGGAACGTTAATATTAATTTAGTAGTATACATTAAATGCAATTTAAGTATTTTGTATGTTTAATGGTAAATGTTATAAATTCTGTGCGTAGAAGTATGCAAAATTTACTGGGTAATAAATACATATAATGTTTGTGCGTATAAAATTTTCTTCATCTCCTCAAACATACATATATGGTTCTTAATTTCACATTTTTCTTTAATTTTTTATACGTGACAGCTAAACTCATAGTTATTACAATGACATTAACTTATCTCAAATCTTTCACAATATTGGTAGTCATATTGTTTACAATAGTTTGGTAATGCATTAACAAAACAGTAAATAATAAACATTTTTGAAGAAGAAATAGTGTACAACTGACAATGAGAAATATAATAAATGTGCACAGAGGCGTACCTTAGGCGTTGTTTAAAGTAAACGAGGGAATTAAATTTAATCTTTCTTTCTCCCGTATCATTTCACCCATTTTGTTTCTTATATTTCCCGTCTTTCGTTTTAATGTATGGCGCATAAAATGTCAGAATAATTTTTTGTATTCATTCCTCTCGGAATTTCTTGCTACGAATGCGGGTACTGGGCAAACTGGGAAATACTGTGCACACATAACAGACTACATTTTCATAAACGCGCACTACAACTCGTGGATTTTGAATACTCTGGAAATATGTAATGGCAGAGTAGCGAAAATTGTCTACTCTGTTTTTTCAGAATGTTGTTTCAGGGTAGAATATCATTGTAACCTATCTTATACGATTTTCTTTGGAGATATTATACTTTCTTACAGCAAATACTGGGTTGGTCAAAAAGTCCGTACGGTTTTTCGTGATAGTTGTCTTCAGGCGTTCTAAAACCTAACTAAATTTAGGTCAAATCATGAAAGCACATGGTTATTTGGATGATTAACATCTACCCGTACATTTTAATTAAAAAATTTGAAGATTAGGTTTGTTTTATAATTTTGGCATAATTCTTAAGATGGGTATGCAAAAGGAATGCAAATGTTTGGTATATTTTGCAATTTTATTTCGAAAAAGGAAAAAAAATAAATGCTATCAAAGAATACGTGTGCCAGAAGTGGTTTGCAAAATTCTCCAAGTATTCGAATTAAGCGTGGAAAACTGTTCGCATCAACTTGTTACATCAACCAGCTTAAAAATCGCACGAACTTTTTGGCCAACCCAATACTATAATCAAAATTATAGCATCTTTTTCGTCTCTTCACATTTTTGCAACTGACTCACAGGTCTTTCTAAAATAAGATAGAAAACATAGCCCAGACATCTCGTTTCTTCCGTACGTCATTTATGCGCACCGTAAGTTGCGACAACTTTGACTTACAAAACCTCTTTCCAAGTCAGAAAATGCTCATTTTCGATTTTGCAGCTCTGACAATTGTTAAATTAAGTTTATTTTCACGTAACAATACCTGCAAAAATAAACTGCAAAATCGCAAATGATAATTTTTTCACTTTGGGACTTGCTGGGCTTATTTTAATAAACACGATTTTCTATCAGATTAAGCAGAAGATATTTCGCCGCATTTAATTAGCTCAGTTTCGTAACTAAATGTGCTGCAACGAAGGGCGAAAAGTATATGGACCGAAGCAACATTTCTAACACAATTGCCAATCGAAACTAGGTCTCCAAGTATAGGGGATAGAATTTCGATGCACAAAGTCACGCGCGTCTCCAGAGTTGCATTGATAGCGTAACACACATGAAACCGATGGCCGATCGCAATAACACGTAGCATCGGAACGACAAGCACAACTGCCGACTGTTCCATTGAACTCGTTCGTCTGGTATACGTATATCCTGATTAGCTCTATCATGCACGACTGCATCTTTGCATCTCGGCGTGTACGTCTCCAAAGCTTTTCCGCCTGGGGATAGGATTTTACGGGTGAAATAAATTCCTCGGCTCTCCCTCCCCTCTCTCTCAGTTAGCAAGGATAATACAAACGAGTTTTACGAATGGCGCGGTTGGATCCGATACTATCGAGAATTCAATGCCGAGAGTTCGAAGAGGGTGCACGCCTGGAACCACCCCAGCATTTGAACACGGTGTTATCCGAACTTTCTCTTGTGTCAATATAATTTTTTAATTTAACCTATATCTATTGTACAGAATGAATTGTTAAGTGTATAAGAATTACTTTAATTTTTGAGGTAACAGTTAGATAGGGATATTGGTACTGCTCGCAGATTTTAATTAATTATTAATTAATTCTTCATATTTAATGTATGAAACTACTTTTGGTAATGACACAGATGATTAAATAATATTATGTACCAAACTGAGATGATTTTTAGGTTAAACAACGTGTAAAATATTTAAATGAAGTTGCGCTACAATCTTAAGGTAGCAGTAATTGAGACCTAACCCTAGATGTATTTTTTTCTTATTAGTCAATGGAATTATAGTACAAAGACGATTATATTTTCTTATTTGCTGCTTTATGTGTCTAGTTAAATTATTTGCAGTTCTATAAACCTAAGAAAACTTCGTGCATAGTATCCAAAGTAAGTATACTTGTTATATTTTCACTACCCCGATTTTATTTTTTATTACACGCACAATTTGAACTAAATATATTCATCTAAACTTATTATCTGGAAATTTGTTAGTAGTATTTTAATGATTTAAACATTTGTGAACAACTGTGTAAGAAGCAACTGTTGTAATATTACTGATTACAAGTTAACAACGTGACTTCGTCGATTACACGATCCAACGATCAAAATCCTGCAAGAATTCTGTGCTAACCATGGTCAACAGGACAAATCAAAGTCAGTTCCAGACGGTAAGTTGAACTTTAACAAAACTTGATCGCCCTGTCTAATTGCCAACGTGGGTGGTTACGTGGTGAAAGCCAAAGTTCGTCCTCAATCTTATTCCCTTTCCCGGTTTCGCCATCGCTCTATCCATCGTGGCTTTTTTCTTGATCCATTCCTATGTCTTCGCATATTTCATCGTGCCTCTGTGTACCCCTTTCCAGACCGTTTTGAACCCCAGATGCCCTCTACTATTCTGTCAGTTCCACTTCCTCTGTAGTAAATTTCATAGCAAATCAACTCGCTCTCCGTCGTCTACACGATCTCGTAAGTCGAGGCAAGAGTTTAGGTCTAGAGCCGTGACTGAAAGGAAATATCTTCGAGGCGATAGTATTTTGATGAACTCACTCCCGAACCTATCCTGATTCCCGACAATTTACTTCTTGTTAATTCCATTAGGATAATTTAATTTCACTTCAAGTTGACGAGATTAGTTCACCGAACCTGACGTTCGATTCTCGGATACTTGCGATCGATTTTAGTAGGGAATTGTGACGCCTATTCGATTGCAGTCTCTTTTCAACATGCAGTAACACAGAAGAGTTCGAGTGAAGTAAATATGTACGCAACTTTGAATTATATAGTCTTCCTTTTGAAAAATAAAATTACTCTCCTGTTACGTTATTACTGAACTGAAGACGTTTACGTAGATCCATGTTTCTTTAGACTGGCTAGCAAAACGAATCAGATCGGAAAATTGTTGGAAACGTTGCATTATTTACAGATAGTACCTACACAATTACCTTCTAAGTCATTTAAATAATTCGTAGAAGAATATTATACGTATTTATTATAATATAACAATCGCATGTAAAATTGGAAGAACGTAATAAAAAGTGGTTACAAGAATTCTATTTGTATGTAAGATTACACTTTATACAGGGTGAACCACCTAACGTGTTCATCTTGGTTCAATTTTTTTTTCCATGTTTTCAAGGTCATCTTCAACTGTTTGTAGATAAATCTATAATTTTTGTACGGCCCTGTTTTAGCCTTTAGTCTTCAGTTTAATATAAGACTAACCACGTATCCAATGATATATAAATGATAGGGTGAGAATTAAAATTCCATGTGTCATGGTAAATAAAACTCAATCTTATTCTGAATTCAATGAAAAGTTTTCAAACCGTTTAATTTTACGTGAAATTTAATCGTCAGAAGATTTAATAGATCGACCAAGTTTTCGAAACGGGTGCCGTGGCACAGTAGGCGCCTAAACTTCGTTTGGATTAAGAGGAACTCTATAATGATGGCGGAAAGACTAGGAGCTTCCGGCGAAACGAATCGTTTTAGGCACCGATGCAAGATCCCATCAGAATTCTCAAGATCATCCTCGCGACTACATAGTTGGGACATTATCCTGGTAACGTGATTTCCACGTTTTTCTTCTAAATGGTGACTAGGTTTCAGGGAGAATCCTTTGTGGAATATTGAATCGTCTTATAATTCCGTCTCCCCGGAAGAATTGCAATTAAAACGCTCTTCGCGCATGGTCTTTGTGAATTGAAATGAGAAATCCAGCAAATGAATCGTGAATTTAGCTCTTCAATTTATTTTCGGAACAGTTCGTTAAAGTACTAATTAAACAGTAATTGAATTTAATCGGATATTTCATGTTCAATTCGTTAGAGGCATTTATTAATTTAAAAAACCACTACAAGTCGCCATTTGTTTTAAATGAATAGATCTTACTTGATATTGTAATTTGATTTCTCTATTACACTTTCTGAATAACAACTAATTGTTTTTCACTGTTTTAGTGGTTCTTGCAATTTATAGCCTTCATAATCAGAAAATATACTTTATTTATGTTTATACAAAAACGGACTGTGCGATTATTGTTTCGTTCACTAACAGGTTAGAGAAAACAAAAATTTCCTTTCGTACGGTAATCGATTCATTTTTGTCCTAGTTTCACTTTACACCTTTGTTTTATTGGATAAAACAAAGGATAAAATACAATGTATATTAAAAAAGATATCATTTGTCAGCCTACTTTTAAGGAAAGAAAAATTCACACTTTCAACAAAGTTAGCTTTATTTGTAGAGTCTTTTAAGTGTTAGTGTTGCATTTTGTTAAATTTCACTCGACGAAATACTAAGTGCATTCGAAAATAAGCCAATCCTGTTACATAACTCGATAAAGTAGTAGCTGTTATTGGAATTTGCAGAGTAATTCGCGTTAAAACGGAAGCATTAGCATCAAATAGAGACAAATTTACTGCATTGCGAGCAGTCGATACTGTCGTGGCTGTTATTGCGATTTCAAAAGTTAGCAACGGTTATAAGCTTACAAGCGTCCGCTTCGAATACCTTGTCGGATTTTTATAGGGTAAATTGCATCTAATATCGTCTAGCCCGTAATATTGCCACTATCTCGCAAACAGTGCTAATATCTGTTGGTAATCAACTAAATTAGTGACCAAGTATGTTCATGAAGACATACGTGAATCTTGATTGTGTAAAAATTTATTGATCCGTGATAATTTTATGTAGTATTGTGAGAAGGTAAGTTTAAAAATTCAACGAATACATGAATATTTACCGGGAGTATCTAATTAATAAAATGTTTCAGCAATTTATACGGTCCCGACACTTCTTTTAATGGAAACAGTTTTTTTGTGTCTTGGCCAGCGTGCACACAATACCGCCTACCTTTTAGTGTAGTATTTGGTACAGATGGAGATAGAAAATTTGCAAAGTTACGCAGTTGAACTTTGTTTTCCCAGCATATAAACGTGACCGTTTTAAAAAATAGTGTGTCATAATATAAATACTTTGAAATTGTATTTCTTCATTTTTGTAATAAAGGCGTGTCTTAAATACAATCCTATTAAAAACAGTTTAGCAAGAAGCTTCTACAATATTCACACGGTTAAAAAGAATAAACACACATATAATTTTAAAAGCTAATAAATATATGATTTCATAAATATTTTTCAGATAGGCGATGTTATGTTCACTTCTTCACGATCCTGATTTTTACTTGTCTTGTTTTTCTCCAGTCGCGATTGAAAATCTTTAGATTATAGCAGTTATAACTTAGTGAAACACAAACAATTTCTTTTCTATCTGACAAGGGAACTTTTTTACTGTTACACCGGAGAATGAAAAATATTACTTCTGTGTTTGGTAGTCCACTAAGCTGTTATTAAAAGTGAATAACTGTAAGTGTCCGTTTTTTTATTTAGCCACGATTGGCATCAAAATTAGTAACATGGGTGATACTGTATCAAATGACGAATTAGACGAATAAACCAAAAATGACTGCTTTGATTTGATTATTTTATTACAAGAACCCTTCAAAAATGAATTTCTTCTGCGAAAAAACTGTATTTCGTGAATACTGTTACGATGTAATATAGTAGAAGAGACATTCTTTATTTCCGAGATTTACACGAGCGTAAAAGCGAGTAAGTCGCTGACGGATAAACGCATCGACTATGTAGGTGAAGTATTAGAACAAATGTAAAATAGTAGTTGTATTTAGAAGCATGTTTCTTTCTGCTTGAAATGAATATAACTTATATTATTACACCAATACTAAACTACGTAATCCAAATTTTTAGTTTACTTCACTTAATATTTTTACCAACTTTGATGCCCTGTATCTTGGTCGAATTAAAAACGGACACCAACGGTTTCTCAGATTTAATAAGGGCTAGGTGGACTACAAAACGCACACAAAATTTTGTATTTCCCGACTTACGAGCAAAAAACGTTCCTTGTGTGACTAATTAGATAAAAATATCAATTATCCTTCAGTTGAGAACGATTTGAATTTGGATAGACGATATTAGGTGCGCTCACACCATATCTCGAAGGAAATCTGCGCAGACGTCCTATTGACACCCAAAACCGATTCAGGCCCGTTGCGAAAAGTTACTTTTTTAAACTGACTTTCCGAGGAAGGCGATACGCTGCGCTTCGTATCTCGTTAGCGAACACCGGAAACTTTATATTAATCCAATCGTGTTAGTCGGCTCGCTGCTTACGGAACAAATAATTAGTCAACGCGCAGTGCTGTCAATAAGTTTTCAGCGAAATTCAGTTTCATATTGCAACTCACGTCTACCTTATTAATGTCAATATCCCCCAAACCGTCGATCAACTCGGGATCGAAATAGCCTGAGCCGGGGTCCGCTTCTGGTGAGAACTATAAAAGAAATTCTCGTTAGCACTTTTTTGTTTATTATCCTATTCGCGAAACATGTTGCGATATTTATGCCACTCGGTTCAGTAACATATTCCCGTTAGAAATTTATTGAATATCTTGCAACTAGCTTGCCCTCTATTACAGAGTAGAGTTTCATTATAACTTTGATGTTATTGTACGCAGTTTTATATTAATTTCAGTGACAATTTGTAGAGAACAACGTTTTCAATTAAATACAGGATCTTTACAGTTTAACGGAAAAATATTTTGTATGAGAAAATAGCATAAATAATGGGTATAGAGTAATTAAGTGAGTACAAGTACCTTATTACACTCTGTTTTAAATTTCTTCAAAATATTATAGGTGCCGTAACTCACTTATAACGTGGCAGTTTATATCATCCGTAATTAAACTGGAAGCATCGATAAGTAACTTGAAATTAAATACCATTAATGGTACGGTCTGCTAATGAATGTTCGTGACGATTATGTTTTATCGGCGATATTAAAAGGTTGTCTTGAGTATCTCTAATATTCGACTATATAGAAGCCCTTATGTTGATTGTACGTGAAACGAAATACAAAAAAATTTACATACAGGAAAATATTGGTGTCAAGGTACACGTAATAGTGAATTAAACAGGTGTAAATGGTGAGGTGATGCATAGTCAAATAAATTGATCGCTTATGAGAGTGTCTATGACTCTATTACGAGTTGGAGTTTGGTACACAAATATCTATGTTGAGTTAATTTGCGTAATTTTCTCTAGATCCTAAAGTGTTTTTATTCGTCTACCATGATTTTTATACGCCTTACTGGTCCAAATTCACGTACCTATAAATCGACTTATGTAAATATTCATTATAATTCAATTCACGGAATTATTGGGATAATATTTATCACAGATGCTTTTACTAGAATACAAGTTTTGTAAACTAGTAGCTCTGCTCGCTGGTCCAATGTAAACTGGACCATTATAAAACAATACATAGATTGTATTTCTACGCTTTGCTCTTATCACTGTTCCGATCGTATATCGCAGCTCCGACATAAACGTACCCTTAATCAATATTTTGTGTTTAAAACTCGTTAACAAGAATATTACATTTGTATAGTAATTATGTGGACACGAATTAACCGTAATCTATCTACCCTATGAGATTTAAGTCTTCAGAAACGAGATATTCAAGCGATTAACGATTGGACAGATTTGCGCGACAACGAAATAGCGGAAAAGTCAAACGTTCGGATTGAAATTAGAAAACAATCCAATCGAATGTTCTATCCGTGTGTATGTGCGCGCGCGTCCACGTGTGTATAATGCACTTTACATAGCATTAACGTGCTTGCTGTCAACTCACACATGTCCAGAGCAGTTCAGCGAGCTTAATTAATCTCATTTCAGCGATTTCAGATCTGCCGTGAGCCCTTTTCAATTATTCAAATACCGAAGATCCTGCCTCAATTCCGCGTGCGCTTTGCACAGGCGCTTTGAAGGGTAGTTTGTTTAATCCCGTGGCTTAAAATTCATTAATATCTTACGAACCGCCTGCCTGAAATACGATTATTCGAAATAGAGTTGACTAAACATTTATCGTGTAAATGTTTAAGTGCCGGGTCAGTGTAAAAGTTTTTATGGATTTTCTGCAGATCATACGATCGTCATGGTTTTATGGAAACAACAAATAATTATGTCAATGTAATACGGCCAATTGTTGTTTAGAACAAAGATTGATGCGATCGAGTGTTTTATTGTTTAAAAAAAAAATTTCATAATTTATGTGGTATACTGAAAATTTATTAATATAATTTGATTATAGAAATTCAATAAAGAATAATCTAAAAATTTGTTTATTAGGATAACTTTTTAAAATAATTATATTATAAAAGAATCATTATGTATTTCATTAAATTATTATTAAATTATAATTAAAATTATTATTAGTCTAACAGTTTAGACAAAACCCATCAAAACTTTTGCACTGACCTTTTGGGTCTTTCTCTTTTAGAAAAACTTTGAAATCTGTCTGTTTACTTCTTTAAATAGTAAAGGTCAACGTCGTGTGTGATTCTTAATCAAATGATGAATTTTCGGTTCAGAAAGTATCAAATTAGTATATACGTAATCACTTTATATTCTACGTACTTCAGTAAAAACGTATTCAATTCTTTTTAACTTTGCACAGCAGTTATATTAGGTTTTTGGTACACTTTTAACGTTGGCTGTAAATAAGTTTATATTTGAAACCATTGATGTTGGATCTTGTTATACACGAAATGCCCTGAACGGAAGTTTCAGGGTGGGTCACCAGTGACGCACGAGGCACGGAACGTATTAATATGATTTTATAGACTGTACTCGTCAGATACACACGATTTCTTTTGAACGACTGTTTGAATCGTAAAATAGACTAAGAGAATGTATTTTTTATTACACTTTGGTATAATCATACTTAAAGATTGAAGATCCATTGTTTTCGATGTTATAATTCAATTTCTATATCGTTTTAACCTTCGGGTGTCACCCCTCATTTTTCGAACGTAGTTGACACACTATGTCGATTCGCCCTAAGCTAATTTTCAATCAGCTGCTGTTTAAAAACTATTTGTTAAATTTAGTCGCAAAAATTTCCGACATACAGTTTGAACATTTTAGAATACATTTTCATTGCTAAAAATTAACATTTAAAGTATCATTACGTACAAATAAATCCTTGAAGAAAAACTTAAAAAAAATATTTTTTAGCTAAAAAGTTATAGTTCTACTCTTTAAATATGCTACTTTAATAACAAAAATAATTTTGTATGGAGCATTCAAAAAAGATATCTATTTTGCATACTGAGGACATTTTATGGGTTGAAAATATCATGCCTTTGTATAGGAGAAATATATTCATTCTTATCCTAAGTATGCAACATTTAATTTTATCAATAAAAAAGTATATTGAATCAAAAACAAGTTATATCAAATTACTTTAAATGTTTAACATTTTAAGTTCGTTATTATTGAAGATGACATACTGAAGGCGTCGTGCACGTAAGTTGTACGCTATTGTCTCGTTATACATTAACTGTCGTGTCCTTATTGTCACTTTAATAAAAAAAAATTCGTATAAACATAATGTTACTTTTACTTTTCTGAGCACTTCTTTACGTCAAAATCACTATATTCGAGTTGGAGCAAATACGACGCCTGTGTCACACTGGGTACAATTTAATCCTACGTCACCTTCGACTGCCAAAAACACACTAAAGCTTCCCCATACTCGGGAAGTGTCTCTATCTGTGGAAGATACTTGAAATTACTACTACATAGCGCCAATAGTACGATTTTAAATCATGCCTCAAAGATCTTCAAAGGTAAATTTTGGGTCATTTCGACCCAATGTGACAACCGAAGGTTAAACTTGCAAGATAATTTAACATACCTATTTATAATAATATTTATATCTACCACCACTAAATATAATATTTCTTACTACAGCATATTGTAAATAGTTGTTCAAAAATTTTGTTATCACATTTAACAATGTATTCGTAAAGTGCGTAATGTGCACGTATTCTGATTTATATTTGAATGAATATGAAAGAAACTGCATATGTATATACACATCAGTAAGTTTATACTATTGACAATCATACATAAAATGTAACGGAGTATTATATTATTTGAAATATTCAGAATACATTGAAACTGTACTTTCTACTCCAATCATAAGTAATAATTCAGAAGCGCACCGAATTTTTACACACCGTGAAATTGTTAATTACATCGTGAAATCGTGAAGCAAGGTATCGTTCTGTTTACATACTATACAAAGTTTGCATATAAATTGCGTTCGAATTCGCTTACCCCGTTTAATGAAAATCGATTAATTTTTATGCACAGATAATACCGGAGGTTATTATTTAACGCCGTGGCCTGTCGTATTATTGACCGGCGCTGTTTTATTTATGAGATCTGGTTTGAACTGCGGAGCTTGTTAAAATGGATCATCCCAATGGAAAATGGTTTTGTGATTTCAATGTAATTAAGTGTGTCACAGTTATCAAAAACATGTAATTTAATCGCGAAAATGTTACTTCTAATATTGGTACTTTAAAAGTGGTAAGGAATAAATAAATAAGAAGATTGTTGTAGTTTCAATTAACTCAGCAGTCTTTATAAGATCCACAGCTCGATCAAGACTTTTACGAAGATTCTGCTAAACGAATAATGTCGGAAAGAGGAGCAGCCTATTTTGCACAAACTGCGTTATCTGAATAGCAGTAACTTTTTACTATATTTAAATCGGATAATTTCTCATCTTAGTAAGGTACATTTAAATTTAATAAATTCAGTAATTATATAATTGAAGCTACTATGAAATTAAATTTTAATTTCGCATATTCTGTACAAGGAAACTTCCCATCGTCTTTTATTTATATCTCTCTTTACATATTTAATGTAGTTAATGTCACGCTTTCACGGTGATGTAGCATATTCCAAATTTGATTGGAATAGATTTATCCGGTTTTGCATCGCGAGCTCGAGATTTCATGTCTTGTATCAATTTGTGTTTCAATATCCAGGCTAATCCTAAAACTTAATCCGCGCTAAAATCAGTCTTGGTAGATCAATGAATGCGTTGAACAGGATTTTCACGTTTTAATTATTTAATTCTTTTCAGGTTAAGTGGATTTCAAATAATAATATGTTAGAATAGAATTATACAACCAATCATTAATTATATATCACAATTATGTACTTACAAATTTTAAATTACACGAAATTGCATAATACAATTCCATAATTTATTTTATTCATACGTTTATTATAGATGTTTCACATTTGTTGGTAACTCAGTGTTATTAATAAAATGAAACAATTTCCGCTGTACAATAAATAATAATATTACTCAATTGACTGTCAACGTTCATGCTAATATTTTATATGCAATATATACAATATTAATTTCCAATGGTGTGTAATACTACAATGTCCAATGGTAGTCCATAA